AAAGTTTACAAAGTTTTTACACAGTTTACAAGGTTTTTACAAAGTTTTTTCAAAGTTTACAAAGTTTTCACAAAGTTTACAAAGTTTTTACAAAGTTTACAAAGTTTTTACAAAGTTTGCAAGGTTTTTACAAAGTTTTTACAAAGTTTACAAAAGTTTTCAAGTTTGCAAAGTTTTTACAAAGTTTACAAAGTTTTTACAAAGTTTGCAAATGGCTGGTGAAAAACACTTATGTTTACAACAAATGACATGAAAAACACTTCTTTTCAAGCAAAAAATCGTGCAAAAACACTTCTTTCACAGAACTTTACAAAGTTTTACAAAGTTTTTACAAAGTTTACATAGTTGACACAGTTTTTACAAAGTTTACAAAGTTTTTACAAAGTTTACAACGTTCTGACAAAGTTTGCGACATTTGCCTTTTGTTACACAAATTTACAAAGTTTTTACAAAGTTTACAAAGTTTTGACGACGATTACAAAGTTTTGATAGTTTATTTATTTGCAAAGTTTACAAAGTTTCTTTCTACTTTTTACAAAGTTTTTACAAAGTTTGTACAGTTTCACAATTTGTACAAAGTTTTGAGGAAATTTACGAAGTGTTCAAAGTTTACAAAGTTTTCACAACGTTCACAAGGTCTTCAAAATGTTTACAATGCTTTGACAAAGTTTACGAAGTTTAAAAACGTTTTACAAAGTTTGCAAAGTGCTACGAAGTTTATAACGGTCTTTTTTTAAATAGAGTTTACGAAGGCCTACAACATCTAAAAGTTGTTTACAAAGTTTACAAAGTGTACAAAGTTTGCAATGTTTACAAACCAAACTTTTTGACAAAGTTCACAAAGTTTTGACAAAGTTTACAAGTGTTTACAAAGTTTTCGCATTTTACAATTTTTTACACAAAGTTTTCGCAGTTTTTTACACAGTTTTACAAAGTGTACAAAGTTTTTACAAAGGTTTACGAAGTTTAAAGTGTTTCAGTGTTTAAAAAGTTTACAATTTTAACAACAGTTTACAAAGTTTTGACAAAGTTTGCAAAATTTGTTCAAAGTTTACAAAGTTTTAGAATTTCACCAAAGTTTCTACAAAGCTTACACAGCTTTTACAAAGTTTACAAAGTAGTTACAAAGTTCTTACAAAGTTTACAACGTTTTGCAAAGTTTTCAAATAATAAAGTTTACAAAGTTTTGACACAGATTGAAAAAAACGAAACTTTGTAGAAAGTTTGTAAGCATCAAAAACGTTTGTAAAAGCTTTGTAAAAACTTTCAAACTCAATAACTTGGTAACAACTTTGTAAAATTCCAAAACTTGTTCAAAGCTTGATAAATGTCCAAAGCTTTGTTCAGATATCTAAAGGTTCAATACTTTGTAAAAACTTCGTTGTTCCAAAGTTTTGTAAAATTCAATGTACTGTAAGTTTCCAAAAACTTTGTGAAATTTGTTATTTCTATCTTTAAACTTTGTAGACTTTGTTAAAACGTTGTAATGCAAAAACTCGGTTAAAAAAATTGTAATTCCAAAACTTTGTCAGATTTTTGTAAAGATCCAAAACTTTGTAAACACTTTGTAGGAAGTTTGTTTGAAGACCTGCGAAAGCTGTTCAAGAAGAGCTGATCTTTGGATTAGTGAGACTGCTTGCATTTTTTTGTTTAAAAAACGGCATTTGGTGCTTGCGCTTTGGGAATTTGTGACTGATGGCTGTAGTGTTTCAGGGTATTGAGGGTGCGAAGAAGGGTCGAATGGTTATTGGTTGTGCAAGTGTTTTAAGACTTGGCCACGGAAACACCAAAACACTTCTTTCATTTTTCCAAATAACATTGGTGCAAAACACTTCTTGCGAGCAAAAACACTAAACTCAAGCAACTTAACACCTGTTGGTGGGCGACAGGAACCGTGCTCCATTTTGTTCTGCAGGACCGATTCCGCCTGCAGCGATTTCCAGGCTTCTGCCACAACCACTGCAGGTGCGCCCTTTGTGGCCGTGTTTGGTTCGCGTGGTTCGGGTGCAACCAAGTACATGTGGACAGTTCGCTGATGTGATGATGTTCTCTTCAAGATGGGTAGAAGCTTTGGACTCACAACCAGCATGTCCATATGTCCATGAGCTTGAGGATCTACTTTTCCACATGGTCTTTGAGTCACTCAGGTCTTTGATGGCCCTGACGGAAGCGTCTTCCTTTAGCGGCGGGTGCAGTCGGGTGCAGTGTGCAGTGCTTTTTCCTCCAGCACAGCCACAGCCAAAGACCACCCTCCACCGTCCACGCGCGTCCCGCCCCCCGCGTCGACGTTCCCCCAGGCACCCTGGATACGGCCGTCTGCGGCAGCGAGGAGCTGCCGGAAGACGGCGAGGGCCGCCGACCGGGGCAGCGCACCTTGCAGGACGCGGTGTCGCAGCTTCAGCGCAGCTTCAGCCTTCGGATC